CCCTACCTCCAGGGCAAACCCACTGCTCTTTCTCCAGTGCACCAGTGGCAGCAGTGTGGACCCTGGCACGTGGAGTCCCAAGCTGCCCATGACCTCCATACTGGGCCTGCCTGTTGTCCTCCAAGGGGTTGCGCCGGTCTCACTCCCATGGTGTTTCTTTTCCCAGGCAAGGAAGTCTTGGTGCCAGGATTCAACATTGCAGGTCTGCTGCCTGCCAACCTGAAACTCTACTTCCACTACAATGGCTCTCTGACCACCCCTCCCTGCTACCAGACGGTGAAGTGGACAGTCTTCAACCAGACCATGCTGCTCTCTTATGACCAGGTCCGTCAGGGCAATGAGCTCCGTGCTGGATCTTGCCCAGCCTCTCCCTGCAAACATGCACTGTCTCTGCCGGTCCCTTGGGGCTCGCCTGGCTCCCAAAGGCGGGATGCACCCCACTCTGCTCACCCCATTCTCCTTCCAGATGTCAATGCTGGCAATGAGCCTGAGAAACGACGACAGCAAACCTCTGGAGAACAATTACCGTCTGGTGCAGGACCTGCACGGGCGACGGGTGCTGGCAAGTTTCCAGACCACCCTCTTTTCGTCAAAGCAGCTGCCTCCTGGTAAGGAGCGCGTGAGCATACTCAGGCTGCACCCAGCTGCAGGGATGCAGAGACAGGGCGAGGAGCAGGAGTCAAGGCTTCGTCTCTTATAGAAATGCAGCATTTGCATGGGTTAGCCCTGCCCAGCAGGTGATTTAGAGCAGCACTAGTCTTGGGGTCCTGCTCTCCTGCATTTCTGCGCTTCTCTCACCCTGCCTAGGGAAGATCAGTTTCTAGGAACTATTTTATCCTTGGTCTTGCAGAAATAACAGTAGTGGGATTAGGGGATGCATGGTCAAGGCCAAACAGCCAGGTCCTAGCATCCCAGTTAGCTTCTTTATCCCCAAACGCAATAGCTTAATTCAGTAGGAGCTGCAGAGGTACAGGCTTGCAGTGAGCACCCCACTGCCAAACCCTGCGGGAAGAGCAGTGCAGGGGACCCCTCTTGAAGGCTGCACTCTGCCAGTGGGCCCACGCAGCCATCCTGGCCAGGCACATGGTCCCCTGCCTGAGGCATCCCTGTCTGCCCATCCTCAGTTCATCCTCGAAGGCCTTTCTTGCGTTGGTGGCTTCCAGCGATGAGTAGAAATTCCTGTTAATCCTCAGGTGTGACTATCGCTCTGCATTGCTGAATTCTTGCCTGTTGCTGCTCTCTGAGGTCACTGGCATTTTTCTGTCCAACATCCTGTTCCTTTTCTGTTTTGATGGCATTTCCTACACCTTGTGTCAAGGTGACTAACAGAAACAGCACACAGGCCCTTGGGCAATACCTGGGTAACCACACACTGTGGTGCAAGGCACTTCCCTTCACCGTCCCACCTGCAGCCAGCTCACTAATGGCTGCAGGCTTTTAATCACCGTGGTCTTCAGCCTGGCTAGCAGTTTCCCATGTGGCACTGCATCAAATGCTTCACTGAAGTCAGGAGAGATAAAATCTACCGCATTTTCTTTGTCTAGTGTATCACTTATCAAAGAAGGATATCGGGTTAGGCTGGCATGCTCTATCTTTGGTAAACCTGTTAGATACTTTATCATATTTTCCATTTACCTCCAAGCCTTTCTTTTACCATTTTCTTGCAGAAGCTGTTCCAAAGCCTCCAGCTGCCAAGGCTGGGGCAAGGGAGAAGTTGCCCAGCTAACTTTTTTTTTTTTTCCTTTTTCTTTCCTTATTTGCTATTTCTATCCAACAACCCCCACTTTAACAAAGCCACGAAGCCCTTGTTCCTGGAGTGCCAGGACACTGTCCCAGTACTCCCGGATGAGGTTACTAGTCCCCCACCTTGCGTGCACAGGGTTGTTGGGGTTTTCTCCCCACCTTGGCACTGATAATTACCTGCTTTAGCTGCCGAGTGCCGAGATGGAGTGCTGTGGGGTCACGTCTCACTTTGCTTGCAGCTGCACCTTCTGCGCCCACGCTTGTTGATCTTTCCCCAGTTACCCCCAGTTCAGGAGAGCCGCTCCTGCCTCCGGCTGCTGAGCGAAGGCGGCGGCTTCCCCGCAGCGGCTGCACAGCTGGATACGGCCCGCAGATAGTGCCACTCTGTGCACGATACCCGAGCCGTGTATAGATGATAATGCAGCTGTTTAAAAGCCACGCTGTCACCGGGTAAATATTTGCCCAGCACAGCTCCTGCCCAGCGTGTACGGCCACCGAGCCATCTCCGTGTGGGGTGCCCTGCCGGCAACGGCCAGCTGCCCCCTCCCGGGGAGCTGCTCACCATCTCGCTGCAGGCAACTGCCTGCTGGGCTCACCCCATGCCCCTCTTCAGGGTCTCCTGTGGGGTTTGGTGCAGTCATGGGGTGCTGCAGTGCTGGGCACCCTGCCTGCCTGCTTCCCGGGCAAGTGGCAGCAGTGATGGGGGAGTTTCTGGCTGGGCTCAGCGAGGCTTTTGTGTGGGCTGTGGTTCAAGGATTTTTTTTTTTTTTTTTTTTTAACCCCTCGGTGCTTCTGGGGC